GTTTTATGGTGTTGTTACTATCATCATTTATTCATTGGGAACCTAAGGTGCAGAGAGGTTAAGTAACTTGCCCTTGGTCACACAGTTTATAAGGAACAGAACCAGTAGTCTGACTTCAAGTTCTACAGCAAAAACTATGGGCAACACCCACAGAAAACAAAATATAAATTTGCTCATAAACATAAAAAGGTACTAAAAAATCTTAATTAAAAGACTACAAACTAAAACTACTGTGAGATGCATTATTTCTACTGTCCCTCAAAGCTTCTTAATATATCTGTCCCGCCTAGGTAGGAAAGGTGAGTTTTCAACTTGCCTGAAGGCCAGAGTTTGGAACCAGTGACCTAAGCATTTAGTTTAGAACTGATGCACATTTGTCATAGTTTGGGAAGGTAAAGTACCCTAATAAATGTGACACAGCTTGCCTTTTCTCTAGAAAAGTAATAATGCATAAAATACGTGGTCATGCTTAGCCTTGAGGGGAAAAATATTTCTATTTAGACCCATTATACTTCAAAATTACTCCAAGAACTACAAATATATTTCTGAAATGAAATAAGTGCAATAAAACTTAAATTGGTGTCTTTGCTTGCTTGTCAAAATATGACAGTATATAAATAGTCATTTTCTTTTTATCTGATTTATACCTTTACCTGCTAAGATGGTTGGGAATGAGTAGCATCCATTGTCTTTTCTCTCGGGCATTAGCAAGGCAAACATCATGAGGAAGGGTTTGTTCACTTTAAATATTGTCGTGAAATCACAGTTACCTCTGATCATGAATATTGGGTTTGTGAAGGGAAAATGAAATCCACAGAGGATCCTAGGATCATTCTTAATCTAATGCTTCAGGCTTTTCTGTCATCACTCCTTTACTCAGAGAAGTTCACAAGTAGAAAATGCAATTGACTTGTAATTATATTCATTTTCCTCAGAATTAAATGGAAGCCTTGGAAAAAATAAAATGACCAAGCTAGGAGCAGTAAGCAGTGGGAAAGAAGCAGCAAATCTTAAAAATGACTAGTGTAAGGAAACTTGAGTAATCTATGATGTGGTTACTAAGGTTGCCATTTACTGGATCCTAGCAAACTTTGAAGGTCAGCCACTTCCTCTACGAAGCCTTCTCTCCCACCAAGCAGGTGTAACTGTTTTTCATCATCAGATTTGTGACAAAACTTTATAGAAGTACATAAGGATAAATATAACAATCCTGCCACTCTTTTAAATTTCACCTTCTTGACAAGTGTGAATTCTTTCAACAGTTTCTCAGTGCTAATACATATTTATCTCTCTATATTATTACTATTATTATTTTATCAGAATGGGCTCAGATCATACATAGCACTTCAAAACATGCTTTTTGCACTTAACTTCATGGCCACTCTTCCAGTTGAATATCAAATAACCCCAGCTCAGTATTTTTAACAGCTGCAAAATATTCCATAATTTAGATAAAAGCCATAACCCAACCTTTCCACTTTTCCCAAAATTGCTATTCCCCAAAATTGCAGTATTAAAGAGTCTTATATGCACTTTTGTTTTTCTGTAGAACATGTTATCTCATGGGATTGGTAGGTCAAATTTTAGTAACTTTTGCTAGACTGTTCAAGTATAAACAATTCATATTACACAAACAGATTATGAGAGTACATAGGGCACCATATCTCCAAACCAAAATGGGTGTTTTCACTCATTTTCATTTTGCCAATCAGATGGGTAAAAATGGTATTGCATTATTGTCTTAAATTACATTTCCATGACTGTTTAAAAGGCTAAACATTTTTTCATGAGCTTTATTGTTCATTTCAAGTTGTATCTCTGTGAATTGCCTGTTCATATAGTTTATGTTCCTATTGGATTGTTTGTCTTTTCATTTTTTTATCAAAATGTATGTTAAGGAGATCAACACTTGGTCTGTTATGCATATACACTGAAATATTTTAATTTTGCTTATAATTGATTTTAGCCATATAAAACTTACAATTTCTCATGTAGTCAGCTATGTCTATATGTTTCTTTATGGTTTCTGCATTTTTTGACTTAAAAAGATCTATTGTACCACTAAATTATTACTTTTAAAATTTTTTGTATTGAATTTATTGGAGTGACATTGGTTAATAAAATTATGTAGGTTTCATGTGTATAATTCTATAATATGTCCTCTGTACATTGTATTTTGTGTTCACCACCCCAAGTCAAGTCTCCTTCCATCACCATTTGTTCCCCCTTTACCCTCTCCTACCTCCCCCCACCCCCTTTCCCTCTGGCAATTGCCATACAGTTGTCTGTGTCTACGGATTTTTTCCTAATCCCTTCATCTTCTTTACCCAGTCCCCCACTGCCCTTCCCCTTTAAGAGCTGTCAGCCTGTTCTCTTTTGCACCACTAGATTATTTTAAAATTATGAAAATAATCTAAAACCTATGAATTGGGACTCGTGAATAAGGAATAAAACAGTTTAGTGGGATTATGATTTATTTTAGATATATTAATAGAAATCAGTGTAATAATGACTATTTGGGATGGAAATGAAAAGCCAAGTAGAACCTCAAACTAACGGATGGGGTGAAGGAAATGAAGACATTGTGCTAGCAGCAAACATATGAAATGGGGGCAAATGGATAAACTATTACAAAGAAAAATATATGGTGAATATAAAATAAGATGAGAGAAATAAAACAGATTATGTCCCTTGCCACAGTACTGTAAACAGGATGAATTTCATTATCAAAAGGCAGTCACTGCCAGATTTTGTTTAAAAATATGCATCTGTAAGTTAACTGTGAAAATATACATAAAACAAAGGAACAAAGACAGTAAAATGAGGGGATGAGAAAAGAACGATACACTGGAGAGATTCAAAGCATAAGGAAGAGATATGGTAATATTAGTACCAAATAAAGCAGAATTAAAGGCCCAAACTGTTTCAGGGGATCAGGGCTAACAAAGCAGTCAGGATTTCAGGAGTTAAGACTCTGGAGTGAAGGGAAGAGTGAAAAAGTACAGTAATAGTGTGAGCTGCCTTTCCCTTCAAGGCATTTGCCAATTTGTTAGCAGGACAAACTGAGAGGATGAATAGCTAAAGATTTAGCAGTAACTTAAGGTGCTAAAGAGCTCTGAAGGCTTTCATCTGAGGTCATGGAGGGAATACACCCTAGGTATAAGGGTAAACTAGACACAGACCTAAAATTAATGCAGCCCCTGACTGAATTGAGGGTACCCATTCTAACTGCCTGCTAAAGCTAAAGAACTTCTCTCTGAAGAAAGAGAACATCAACAGAGTATCCACAATTTTTTTTTAAAAAGCATTCAATATTCAATTTAAAAAAATTACCAGGCATAATTGACAGAAGCAAGAGGAAAAAACCCCTACAGAATAGCAATTCCAAGGTTACTCAGATATCCAAATAACAGTGACTAATATTTAAGAAAATAGATGAAAACATGGAGAATTATTCCAGAAAACTGGAATCTATAGAAAGAATCAACTGGGAATTCTAAAACTAATTGCCACTCCCTCTTTGACGGTCTGTCTCAGGATTCACAGTGGTCCTCAACCCTGATTCTGTACCTTAGAATCACTGGGATCTACTATGGGCCTATAATGCTCCCCAGGGATTCTTATGTGCAGCTGGGATTGAGAATCACTCCTAACAGAATGAGTTCAAGATTGCACAGGTCCAGAAACCATAAACAGTTTTTGGGAGCAAGAACTAGTTCCTCAGTTAGGAGGTACATTCAGCAGCATAGTCCTGCTGCTCGTTGCAAGCCACAAAACCTCTGTTTACTTCGCTTCCCTAATCCATCAAATAAGTACAGCAAGATCTTTTGTTTTGTCTCCCACAGACTGTCATGTGAAGTTGAAAATGGGAAAGAGATAAGACTTTCCAAATTTTGAAAATCATACCAATGTAATTTGTGAGTATCCCCATCATACAAAAACTTTCCTGTGCTAAGGTGGGCCTTGCACAGGTCATTTCACTTTTTGCACCCCAATTTCCTCACCTACAGAGTAGAGCTACCTACTCTGCAGATTATACCTTAAGTAGCAAGGAAAACAACAGGAACTGAAACATATATTGTTTGCTTTTTATAAATTTGCATTTTTATTACAAAGCTGTGGATAGACTCACACGGCCCTTGATGTCAAGCCTGCCATCAAATCCCATAGTCTTTCATGTTAGTAGATACTGACATCCAGGTGGCCATAAGCAGGTACAGCATTTCTGCCTGCAAAGCTTTGTGACTTCAAAACAAATCCTGGGGAATCTTTGGTTACTGACTAAGCCTGTTGAGGTGACAAGTGCAATTGACTTAGCTGCCTGGGAACTCCCCTTCTAGCTTCCGCTACCTGGGGTTTCCCAATTGTTAGGTGTGTGACAAATCAATACTGGCTACAGGTGAATGTGTGCAATCAACCTCCATGAAGCGGGTTGAAGTCCTCTAGTGTGAGGTGTCACAAAAGGAGGAAGGGGTCCAGAGACCCTGGGCCAGCTAAAATACCTGCCCTGTGAGCAAGTCCAACCACCTTCCTCTGTTCTCACCTTCTCCCTCTGAGCTCAGTACAAGGCACTTTTCCTAGCCCCCAGAAGTTCTATATACTCCAGTATGGGGCCCTGTATTCTTATACTGACCACAAGTCCAGTGATTATAATAAATGTTGAGGTCTCCGGCAAACTCAAATTCACAGAAGTGAATTTGAAAGCATGAAATGGGGAAAAAGTTTTTGAAGGTGGCTAGTTGCAGTTATTCCTGATTTGGACTCTATTGGTATATATATTCTTACCTGTGCAAAGCAATACAAATTTATGTTGTCAGCTAGTGACATGAATGGGTTTTTTCTTTCCTAAAGCAAATCTGATCATTACTATGTTGCAACATACCTTGCAACAAACAATAGATTCAGGATGTTCTGCTTTAGTGCAATAAAACAGAACAGGTGTCCTTGGAAGGCATGAACTGTCATTTCAAAGGAAATTCTTAAATATTGTTCTCACTTACCTACTGATATGGTCCAAACAGCAATTATTTTCAGAAATGCCTTAGTTCTGGAATTGAAGCGGCTGTGATGGATGGGGTTCTGGATGGCAACGTAGCGGTCCAGCGAGATGGCACAGAGGTGCATGATGGAAGCCGTGGAGAAAAGCACATCCAGGTAAATCCAGACTGCACAGAGCTTGCTAGGCAGAGGCCACCTGTAACCTAGGATGCAGAAGCTTAGAGTCAGTAAGCAGCCGGATGCTGCCTCTGGCATGTGGATTCTCCACTACTGCAACTGTTTCCATCCTGGGGAAAGGCACAAGAGGCAGCAAAGGGTAACATAAGCTATTTTCAATATTTCAGAAAAGCCTAATAGCAACTGTGGTTAACTATACTAGGATTTCACTGGTTGATGAACATTTCTTTTGGCAGGAACTATTTCATTTTGTTGGGGTAAACAGGTTCTCTTGAGCACTTTTTTTACTCCGTTCTGCCTAACAAAACATATCTTTTTTTGTTTGTTTGTTGTTTTTAAGTTACTTCGGTCATAAGTTATAACATGTTTTGGGCGCCTCTGCCGAGGCACCTCACAGTGTACTGTCCTTACTTATTCACACATCTTTCACACATTTTAGGTTTCCTGAGGTTAGGTCCATCCCTTAGTCATTATTATAACTGCTCAGTTACCCTGTGATGGCATTTGGTAGTTTCTCAATAAGCACTATTGGTGTGAAGGAACAAATGATTAAAATCCAGAATGAGAATATGTCTTTACCTGTAAAAATGAAACATAATTACCTAATAATGCTTTGGGGTTAAACTCAAACTTGGGGCTTATGGGGAGCGGGAGTTGAAGACATTGGTGAAGAAAAGCATGGTGTTCCTGTCCTGAAATTGTTTCAGGGTAGTAGTTCTCAAACTTTAGTGAGCATCAGCACTCCCAGGTGGGCCCCACCTCTGGAGACTGATTCTGTTAGTCTGTAGTGGGGCAGAAGAGTTTACATCTCTAACAAATTCCCAGGGGGTGCTGATGCTGCTGGTCCAGGAACCCCACTTTGGCAACCACTATTTAGGGCGGTGGTTCTCATTATGGCCCCTCATTAGAATCAGCTGGAGAGCTTTAGGGAAGTCTTGATGCCTAGGAGGGTGGGTAGAGGTGGATTCCAAATACTGAGTATTTTAAAGCTCTCCAGATGATTCCACTGGGAGAACCACCGAAGAAAGTCACCTGCTGTATTAGGGAGAAAGGATATGCTTTATGGACATAGGCAAAGTGTACTTTTGTTTGTTTTAGGGGGAATCAAATGGCTATGTAAACCTATTTAATTCTGATAACAGCATAAGCAATAGTGTTAGGTCTGTGTGCATGTGAGAAGGAAAATTATAAGACCACCTTTTCTTTACAATATTGCAGACCTAAAAAGCTGAACAAACTCTCCATTTTCAAACATACTCTCTCTACCAAAATGCCACCACGGGTATTCAGAAAAGTAAGGGTTGCAGGATACAAGCCTAATTTAGTGCCTTTCACACAGATTATTTGCAAAGAGCTTGAGCTAAAGCTAGAGCCTTTTCCTTAGCAGCGCCTGGGGGGAAGCCATGCTCAGCCTGGTCGGAACTGATGTTGGCTCTTAAAGAAGTTTTCTCTGCAAGGAGGCAGCCGCAAGCCTTAGTCCGGGTTTCCGCAGTAGGGATAAGGAGGGGGCGTTTCCTCGCCCTGCGGAGTCCTGGAGGACAGTCCAGGGAGGAGCTCAGCTCAGGGCTGGAGGCGGCTACCCGTGGAGCGGCTGCCGCCAGGGGGCGCCCTTGCAACCCGGAGCCCGAGGCCCCCGGCGAGTCCCGGCTTCCTCACCCGCCGGCTGGTGCTTGCCCCGCCCACGCCAGCCGCGCGGGATCATCCCCACCCTCCCTCCGCGGTTTTGGTTCCCGAGCTCTGTGGCGAGTCATCCCTCACTCCTGGAGTTTGCTTTTGAGCAGGGTGGGGTTTTAGGAAGCGAGGACTTCTCCAAAATGTCTGGGAAATGACAGGCGAATTTAATGAAATGATCTGGTGGTGACATCAGAGTGATCAAGCAGGCTGGTTTGGTAATGAGCCCTATCCGCCCTGTGCAGACTGGAATCTGCTCTCCGTTGCTCACCTTCCTCCTCTTCCTCCTTCCCACTCCTCCCCACTCCTCAGGGCTGGATTGATATTTTTTTTAGCCCCTAAGACTTGGCCAAAAAATCCCCTCTTAAAGACAGCACTCAACCTGTTTCCAGCTCTGGGTGACTGCTGATGTGCCTGTCAGCAGTCTCAATAGTCCCTCCCTCCCCTCCTCCGTCCCTCCCCCCGCCTCTGGAAAAATCTGGTTGTATTACTTATAATTTGGAAAGAGCATCACATTCTGCTCCCAGCTGAAGCCGCCCCTGTGCATGCTGACTTGCTGAGAGGTTTGACTCTTTCAAACTCTTTTGAGAAGAAAGCAAGATGAACCTCCTTCCATTTTCCACCCCTCTCCACACCAGACCGGTGGAGTTTATGCATATGCATTTTTAAAGAGCTGAGGGTAGAATTCAAAGGCACCCTTCCAAATTAGCTTACCTGGGCAGGGAACAATTAAAATTGGGATAATTCATTTATTCTAATGGAGACTGCATATTTTAACACTAAACCCACTGCACCACTAATGTTCTTCCTGCAGATATTCCCAGGTAATTGGGAAGGTTTTACCCCTTCATTAGAAGTGCTGTAAACTATGCCAAAGATAAAACTGTTCTGTCCTAAAGGCTGGAATATTTGGGAATATAAAGGAGTGAAAATCAAGTGGATTCAGAATGACAAAGTTATTGCTTTATGACTGTATTGGGGCACTTATAATATTTTCCACCTAAAGTGTATATATTTCAAAGCACAAAACTCTTCAATGATCACAGATAATAGGTTGTCTTTTTTAAAAAAATATGTGAAACCCCATTTTAAGAGTAAAGTTTAAGTAACTAGTGTAACATGGTAGCCTTGTTCATGAACAAAGCCCTGTGTTTATTTTGTCCCTTGAGCCCTGGCTCCTCTGCTAATGACATGCACATGCTCTCTATTCCTCCTGTGGGTACAGCTGGGAAACTAACGCCACTCACCATACAGGATGGTTAACATGGACACGGGCATGACAAGGAAGCCCAGCAGCATATCAGCTATGGCAAGTGACATCAGGAAATAGTTGGTGGCATTCTGCAGCTTTTTCTCTAGGGACACTGCCATGATGACGAGTATGTTTCCAGCAATGGTCAGAATAATCACTACAGCTGTCAGCAAAGCAGACCAGTTTTTCTCCTGGAGGTGAAGTAAGGAGAAGCACGGTGGTGAGAGACAGCCCTCACAGGAAAGGTTGGTTCGATTTTCTGAGTCCACTGTCCAGTTAAATGCATCTGAAGTGTTAGCTTCTCCAGAATTAAAGTCATTATTGTAAAGCCTTGTGCCATCATTTAGTTGCATCAAGCAGTTTGTACTTGAGCTCAGAGAAGTGTTTTCTACACAAAGAATATCCATTTCTAAGCTGGAACTTGTAGCAGATGAAGTGTAGAAAAACTAACAGGTTATAGGCTCTGGTCACCATCCATTTTTGTGTCTCCACACTCTGTCACACTGAGGCTGGTGTACACGCTGGGCTCCTCTGGCTGACTTTTTTCCTCCCATTATTGCAATAGTAGTTAAAGAACTGCAGTGGCTCTTTATATTTCCTTCCTTCACAATTTTAGCAGAGTCCTCTGTTTGGTTTCATTTTTTTCTCCAAAGCAAGGTCAAAAAAGCAGAATGACTTTTAGCATAGAGGCTGAAGAGTTTTGAGCATTCGGGGAGAAAAATGTGATCCTGACCAAAAAAGAAAAGTTTTGTGACTACCAGGAATCTCGTTTATCTCCCTCATTCTGTTGGCTATGCTGGTCGCCCGAGGTTAGCCACAGCAGCATTAAAATAGCATGCAAGCCAAAACAGTGGGTTGCATGCCTTCTGCATTAAGAAAGTCAATTAAAAATACATCCAGTGTTAATCCCACAGTAACTGAATGTACTTTGGGTTTTAGTTCTCAGTCAGTCTTGGGCTGAATTGCCACAGTTGCTGTCAGAAATTTCAGTTTATATTATATTGCTTAGTTAATAAAAGAAAAAAGTCTTAAGCAAAGATTAACAACTTTCCACACTAGAAATTCTCATTGTGAGATGATTACCTTTTGGCCAAGCATAATTTCAAGCCAAAAAGAAAATTACACAGCAATAAAATATAGTATGAGAACATGAAAACTTACATTTGTCGTCAGGGTCCACGCATAAGACACACTGCTGTTCTGTAACTCCCTCCATCTCTCATGATCCTTAAGCTGGTAGAGAGTCCCTTCTCCTTGAGCTTCCACCAGCATAATATGATAGTAATCTGATTTCTCTTTTGCCGATTTCAAAAACTGCATGCAAGGGTCGAGCCAGTTCCAACACTGCGAGGTCCCTGTCGGCTTCCTCTGTCCCTGTTTGGCAGGGTTACTCCCTCCCCAGGCAGCTCGCCCCAGGGAGGCACACATTTAGAAATCATTCACAAGCCCCTCTTGAAGTCACACAAAGAAATCGCACAGCAAAGTAGGAAGAGCTGCCTGCACTGAGGGACACGTGGTTTCCACGGGAATGGGCTAGCTAGCTCTCAGGCGTCTCATCCCCGTCGTCGTCAGACCTGCCTCTGTCTGTGTGTCATGCACGGCAAGGTAGCAACAGCCAGGAAGGCGGACCACACGCTGTGTTTTTGCTATATGTTAACGTTGGGAAGTTTTCCTTTGTTTTAAAAAGAGAGAAACGAAAGAAATCACCTTTTGTACAGATTGCTAAGGCAGGTAAGCTGCACTGGGATATTTATTAGGGTGCCAGGGTGAGGAGAGAACATAAATAAGGCTAGAAAATGGTGTATCCTGGGAAAATGTTCCCTGTAGCAAGGCTCTTCATTCAAAGCCTACTGTGCCCACGCCTGAAGCGGAATGACGCTGGCAACTTGAGCTCAGAGTGGCCAAGCATATCTTGGCGGATAACTCTGAAACTGTTAGTACTATTTTGATTTATTATTAAATACATGCACCATTTAACTAGCTTATTTTTTTCAGCAGAAATGTACCACCTAGAATTAATTCAAGACCTCACATTTGAAAGAGAATAACTTGGTTGTCCAGAAATAACACTAACAGCCTGTTTACGTGTAAGAAAGCCCTTTCTCAGGCTTCTAAAGAAGGCAGCTATATGTATGCATGGATCAGTGTACACACACACACACACACACACACACACACACACACACAGCTTCTTATTTTTACAGATGAGAAAATAGATTTTTTTCTGATTAGTTGGGTTTTTCTAAGTTTCTGTCCATCACCATCTTCTCTTCTTACTCTGCATTCTCCCTAGACAAATTTAACTACTCTGATGACTTCAACATGTTTGTGGCTAAATCTGTACCCTCTTATCAGATTATTTTCCTCAGCTCCAGACCTAAATATCCAGCTTTCCATGGGCCTTCCATCAGTAGCTTAGGAGACCTTGACTGCAGCACCTTCTATCAAGCGCCCATTCCTCTGCTCCCCCCACCCCCTTACTTACCTCCACCCATTCTCTTGGCTCACCATTTCTTCAGACAGGTGGCTGTTACCCATGTCTCTTCCTTCATACTCAGTGTGAGATCTTAGTCTCCAGGGCCACATCTGTATACATATTTCTCAAATCTCCTCTTCTCTAGCCCACAGCTCACACTTCTTTGGTTAAAGACTTCATCATGTGTCTGTTGGGCTGGAGAATGAGTTGTCCCCTTACTGCCCATTCCAATTTCTAGAAGAAGGGAACTGGGAGCACAGGCTTCAGGATCAAAATTTCTTAGTTTTGAATCCCAGCTCTGTAGACTCATAAGCAGTAGAATCCTGGACAATCTAGTTGCCTCCTTTAAGGCTCAAGTATTTTTACTTGTAAAATGAGTAATACCTCCCTCATAAGATTGTAGTAAGCTAAAATGAGATAATGTGTGTAAATATTTAGCCCATGTCTGGTTTATAGGATGATCTTAATGAATGTTAACCATTTTTATCCTTATTAATATTCTTATTGATATTATTAAAAAACAAATGTCATGCCCATCAGTTTGTGCCTACATTCCCTCAGTCTCTCCCTTGTGGGGCACATGACTCATCTTTGCTGTCCCACTTGGCTTCCAGATCTCATTACTGTCCCATGAGCAGCCTTCATGAAAATGAACTTGCAGGTTTCTAATGATTTTTAAGCATTCGTATTTGCAGTTCCCTGTGTCTGGAATACACTCACCCCCCAACACCTCCCCTCCTTTTCTGTCTGTCTGGCAAACTCCTACTCAGCTTTCAAGATTCAGTTCCAAAGTTATGTCCTCTATGAATTCCATTCCTGCTACTCACCATCTTTGTGACCTTGATTAAACTACCTAATCTCACTGTGCTTTAATTTTCTCATTTGCAAATAGGAAATAATACCTACGTCAGGATTGAATTGAGAGTTAAATAAATTTACATATGTATCTGGCACATTTTAAATACTCAAAATAAAGATTAATTGCTATTATTATTATTGTTATTAAGCTTATTGTTACTAAGCTTTTTGTAGCTTTCCTTCCCCATGTAGGCAAACCCTATAGCACCTTCTGCAGTCTTCCATTTTAACACTCCTCACATTGCTTGTTAGCCCTATAAAGGCAAAAGCTATGTTTATCTTGTTCACAGTTGGGCACATACTTGGTGCTTTGATATGCTTGTTGAAAGAATGTGTGACTGATTTGTTATTACCTATGCATGTGCCGTCTTTATTAGATGACGAACTGCTTATTCATCTCTATGTCTTCCATGCCAAGCATGATATCGCCTAACGAGAGGTCCTTGGAAAGTGTATTTTGAAGGAATAAATGCATTGATTGTTAGCATATATTAAAAAGCAGAATCAGTGAGAAATCTAGAATCTCAAACTCCTTTTTCATTACTTTGTCCAATGGGATACTAATTTAACTTTATTAAAATAAGAAGCGGAAATTTAACTGACAAAACTCCAGTATTGGAAAGTTACTTTAAAACTTTTTGATGTTAAATTTTTTTTACGAATTGATGTGTTATAGTTCATCTTAAAGAAATTTAATGTTCTCAGGCCATTATCCTTCATGAAGAACAGCTGGGTTTCTAGTCATGGCAAAGCTAGTCAATGAGTGCTTGGTGTATGGTTTATATTGTGAAATAACTTTATTAGTAACCATCTGATCATTTGAAGTTTTGTTGCAGTTTTAGGAATACTTGTTTTGGACAAAGCAATATGGGCAAAATCTAGGCCCTTGGCTTGTCTATTAATAGCATGAGATTTAGATTTGGTAGGGATGGTTTCTTGCAGGTCAGGCACCCCTTTGAGTTTGGAGAAAGAGGGCTATGTATTGGCTGCAGGTGTGGATACTGTGGTGTGCAGCTCAGCTCCCTCCCACCTCAGAACTCCCCTGCAGCTGGAAGTGTTGGTGGCTGATGTCTCTCAGCTGATCCTCCCTGTGACAATTACCCTTAGCCAAAGAGGAAATCTTGCCTATAGTCATGCCCCTTCCCTAGGACAGTGAACACACAATGGTTGGTATGTTGCAAGGATATGAGTCTGGCCTGCTTGTCTTGGGGCTGTACAACCCTGAAGGGCTGCCTGGTTCCAGAAGTCTCCTTGGGATCTGCTGAGGCCTTTGTTGGGACTCCATTTCAGTTAAGCTCCTCCCTCTGCCTAGTCCTGCTTCCCTCACTCCCCCCCAGAACCCAATCTAAGAACTACATTTTTAAAATTGTGTTTTAATCCCTTGATGCCACCTCTGGATGAGTTGCATATTTTACAGAGAACAGAAAGATTGCCTGTATTGCTGAATGCTCCTTGTCATAAGCTTGCTCTTCAACAGACAACTGGCTTTACTATCTAATTACCGCCAGAGGAACTTAAAGTCTGCAACTCCAAAATAAAATTTATTATTTTGAGCAGATTTTCTCCAGCAATTAATGGACCTTCTGTAGGGGTACATTTTGCAACTATTTTATTCTGGGGGGTTCCCCAGAATATGGCTGCTTGAAATTAGATGTTGACTTTTTTTTTTTTTAAATGGCTGCAGTGGCATTCATAGCCTTTGCTTATTTTTTTCCAGGCTAGAGTTATTGGTTTCTGAAACATTAGTGCCTTATGGCTGTTACTATATGTGAGAAAAAAAGTTTCTGAGCAATGAATTCTGGAACATACTGCATCCCATAGCCTCCATTTAGAAATTTACAGTGCACGTGAGAATATTAAAGACTATGAGAGATCCTGCAGTGAAGAAATTTGTTTATATTTATCTTTCCCACTCCCCTGCCTTCGACAGAACACTCATTGCGGGACACTTTTATTTGTTTAATGAATATAAAATATAACTCAATTTAAAATGTAAAGATTGTAAATATTTAGTTTGAGTTTTGAAAAAATATACATCCTTATAACCATTACCCAAATCAACATAGCCACCATTTCTATCACTTCTGAAAGTTCCCTCATGTGTCCTTTTGACTTTCACTTAAATGAAAACATGTGATATATACTCATTTTGTGTTTGGCTACTTTTGCTCAGCAGCATGTCTGTGAGATTCATTCTGTTGCTGTG